TCGCACTGTCGCCGGCCCTCCTGTCCGAGCCCCACCCGCCGCTGCCACCGGTCTCTGGTCGCCCATGCTGTCGGGCACAGCTGCCATGCGCTTCTGTGCCATGCGCCTGTGCGGGTGATGTGCTGAGCCCTAGCCCTCCTGTCCACACATAGACGCGTTCCCATCGGCGCCCCATCGTACGTCCCACCCGCTGCCCGCCGCCGGCATGGATGGGAACAACAGGGGCGACTACGCAGGGCGGTGAGGCGCGGCCAGCTCGATGGGCGTGCGCTCGTCCTCGTCGAAGTGGCGGCTGATGCGGGAGGGATTTGTGAGGAAGGAAGAACATCGGCAGCCGCCGTCACTGCGTAGGAAGCGGCGGCAGTGCGCGTGCGCGCCGATGCAGTCGAAGAGGTGGAAGGGCGGCGGTGGTGCGGTCGGGTAGTCGTGCAGAGCCGCGTAAACGGGAGCAGTTCTTCTCGATCCAGGACTCCTCGATCTGGTAGTCGTGCAAAGACGAGGGGCGGAGGGATTCCAAGACGCCTCGCGATCTGGCGCCAGAGAAAGAAGAGTCGGGGACGAACGATTCGGGTGAAAACCATTCCGTAAATCGTGGTAGACAGCGGGGATCGAGGGATGCGGAGCCTAGGAGGATCGGCAGACGCGACAGACGACGACGTCTGCTGGCAGAACATTTGATCCGAGACGTTGATCGTGATGATAGGCTATTAGAGTAATATGGGCGGTAGGATGTATTTAAGTTGATTTAATCTGAGGGTTCTGATTATCCTGTGTACAGTTTGTTGTGTGACTTTAGGAGAAGTTATGTTTGCTCTTTTAATAGTAGTAGAGAGGAAAATCAGAGAAAGGAATTTATTGTAGCGTCCTGTATGGATTCTACGGACTTCAAGTTTGGTTCCTCCATGAGTCATGTAGTCAGCCGAAGTGGATGTTGAAGCGTGACATCAATCTTAAACCTCTATTGGCAGACTTTCCATGGAAATATGATAATAGGCCCTGGACCTTTCAATATGGTAATGTCAATGATGATCAGGATGGCATGAGCAAAGCACCGATGGATGAGGAATTTGATTGGACTTTTGAGGACTGTAGACCACAAGATAGTGGATATGCCCCCCATAGATATGATATTTCTCTGCTAGGATTTCATCCTAACGAAGAGGTGGTCTTCTTCCATACAACCTCTAAACGAGTAGTGGCCTATAACTTTGATTGCTCCAAGATTGAAGACCTGGGGAGCTTCCCCACACAAAGTGACGACGAAATACGCATGTCGTTCCCATACACACCTTGTCAGACTGGTGAGCTATCAGACAACTAGTTTAATTATACTATGAGAATTAGTTAGCATATGCAATTCTTGTTGTTTAGTTTATATACAAAAGAGCGATTGATTTTATATTGTTGTGAACATTTGTGAACAAATGGTGGTTTTGCTAGAACATTTTTGCCTACATTTCAACATAAGCAAACTTGATTAATTTCCATCATCGGACCTCATATCGGGACCCATCTACACGCATATTCGGAACTTAACCATCAACCTCCCTCCTCCTTTCCGAGACCCTACAATCATGAATATATACTGGACAGGTGCGAAGGCAATCATACAGATCGCCGTTCGTAGGCTCCTGGAACCCCACACATCACCGGGAAAAAGATCATGACGGCGACATGGTCCACGACGGAGGACGTGACGCGGCTTCTACCCCATGATGTGCTCGCTGACGTCCTCCGTCGCCTCCGGTCACCGCGCCACATCGCCGCATCCCGCTGCGTCTGCAAGGCGTGGCGCGACATCATCGACACCTATCGCCTGCTTCGAGCAGACCTCCTCCCTCTCTTGTTGGCGGGCATCTTCACCGTCATGCACTGCTACAACTCAGGCATCCACAGATACTTCTCACCCGTTTCATCCCCGGCCATTGCCCCCTTCCACTACCTGGACACCAAGGACGCCCAATGCTTGACAATCGTGCAACACTGCAATGGGCTCCTCCTGCTGGGCTACCACGAGATGAGGGTGCTTAACCCCGCCACACGGCAGTGGGCATGCCTGCCTCCTCCCCCGCCCATGTTCACCCCTGGCATGGAGGACGCCGATTGGTTTCTCGAGTCCGGCAAGGACCGCCATAATCGGTACCTTGTGTTTGACCCGACCGTGTCGCTGGACTACGAGGTCTTTTCAATCAATTATGTGCCTTTCTATCCCTTCCCTGATTGCATGCATTTGGCATCCGATGAAATTCAAGAACGAGAATGGCCACCGTCGACATTTGTCTTCCACGTCTACTCGTCCAACACAAAGCAGTGGGAGGAGCGGACATTCCTTCGGGAAGGGGAGGCTGCGGGGAGCATTGGCCATATGTTCAACGTTCCACCAACAACCCAGAACTATGCCGCGTACTGGCGGGGAGCACTTTACGTCTACCAACATGAATTTCTTATGAAGTAAGCATCGTCCGGCTATTAAATTGCTAGCTTAGTTTACTTATGTGTTTGATACACGGCTAATAGAACAATTGCTTGATTTCTGCAGAATAAACTTGTCAAATAGCAAGTACCAACTGATTGACCTGCCGGAGGGTTGTGATCCACATTCTGAAAACTTTTATATAGGAAGATCGGAGAAAGGACTTTATTGTGGTTTCCTTTATGCATTTGACGGCTTATGTTATGGATATGATGGCTATGGACTTAAGGTTTTGTTACTCGATGAATCCTGCAGCCACGTGAAGTGGGTGCTCAAGCATGACATCAACCTTAAGCCTCTCTTGGCAGATTTTCCATGGAATTACGATAATAGGCCCTGGACCTTGGAATATGGCAATGTCGACGATCACGATGACATCAGCAAAGCACCGATGAAAGAGGAATTTGACTGGGGTTTCGACTACTATAAGCCACGAGATGCTGGATATATTCCCCGTCGATATGCCCTTTCTCTACTTGGATTTCACCCTAACCAGGAGGTCATCTTCTTTCATACACCCTCTAAAAGAGTAGTGGCCTATCATTTTGATTGCTCCAATATTGAAGACCTGGGGTGCTTCCCTACGGAAAGTCCCTACGATATAAGCATGTCTTTTCCATACGCACCATGTCAGATCGGTGAACTATCAGACAACTAGTTTAATGATATTATGAAATTTAATTAGCATATTGAGTTCTTGTTGTTTAGTTTATATACACGAGAATGATTGATTTTTTGTAGTGTAATAAAAATTTGAGAACAAATGATGGTTTTGCTAGAACATTGTTGACTACATTTGAACTGAAATGAAATTGATTAATTTTCAATGTTAGACCTCA